AACTAATGACAAATTAAAATTTTAATTATATTGTTATAATTCAAAAACATTATTCACTTACTTGTAAATTTAATGTAGTATATATCATATTTACACAATCAGATTTTAAAAATATTATGACATAAATTATTAAGTAAAATAAAATACCATACTATCATTTTATAAAATATACTTTTATACATACTACGGATTAATAATAATTGATTTTTAGATTCCTTCACTGATTACTGAATATAAAATATTTGGAAGTGGAAATCTAACAATATTTTAATACACTATTCAACTATATTGATATGTTTGCTTATATTATTTGTTAAACTCTTGCTAAAGTCTTCCATAATTTCATAAAACGGAGGAAAATATGCTGGTTATAAATGTTATAATTTATTTAGTTTTATGTTACTACAAATTACAAATTACAAAAAATATTTCATCCTAAATTAATTTTTTTTAAATAAGTGTTAACATTGCCATGTTGTCAGGAGGATAAATCCAGAAAAAATTAAATAAAAAAAAAAATAAGTCCAGAGAGAAAATGTCCTACATTCCAGACTCCAGATATTGTAGACCATGTATTATATTTTGACGGTGGAAATGTAGAATTATTGTGGTAGGTTAGGTTAATATATTTTTTTTAATTTCCGGGTGAAATAAAAACTTCGATCTATATATTTGTATATATAAAAACATTGCGTAATTGTTTCTAAAACGCAAATAAGTSAAGTGAACGAGATAACTGGGGGAATGTAGTGGGGTATGTGGGACTTGGGTATCCATTAGAAATTCTAGCCTCCCACAGTTTCGCCTCTTTTGGGATTAGATTTTTACAYAAAGTCCCAGTATAAAAAAACTTTTGTCAATATGTATAATAATTAATTGTTCTATATGTAAATTGTATGTTAGGTATATCAATATTTTTATACATATGGTTTTGTTTTGGCTACTTCAGTTTTTGTATAGAAACTATCGTAACTACTCATTACGAAAATATGAAATATTATTGGTTCTTTTTCTTGTACGAAAACGAAGAGAATTTATTAAAACATACATAAGGTCTACCACGTGTCCACGTTATAAAATAAATTCAAAGATCTAGCTATACTAATCATAGGAAGAGAATAAGATTAATGAACAACTATAAGATAATTGATAATATTCTAAAAGTATTCGCTTCTAAATAAAAGCGTGTACCTACATTTATAGTATTTTTAAAATGTATAAAATGTGCTTACTGTAGGATAAAAAGATTAAAAAGTACACGCTTAGCTATATATTATTTTATAGTTAACAATAATTGAGTTTTGAGAATATTATGTTTCAATGACGATGCCCTTTCTCTTTGCTTTCGACCCTTTAGCTAATTTCCAACCTTTCCCAGGACTCCCTGTGACTGCTTAACTCTATGGTTTCGCCCATAAAGGGGGGAGGAAAGGCTTATTTCGAACTTTGATTTCTAATACTTTACCAGTCRTTACTAGGTAGGTCGTATTGCAGTAGGTACTAAATCCTAGTTATACCTCTTTGGAACCGCGATGTGCTCACTGCTTACTGTCTAGAATCTTTTACTTTGATCTACTGTTTTGAAAATTCATCATCACTCATCAACATTGATCAACAGTTAAATTATAGAACAAAGCCATCGCCGAGTTAGATTAGGAAGATTTTAACTTACATAGCCTATAAAACACCCGCACGTGATTATAGGTACGTAAATTCATATGCAATCAAGTAGGTTATTAACACTTAMCTATACGACCGCGACGGCTACAACCGTAATGGATAACTTTTCAAATGCGTTATTTGTAAATAGGATATCACCGACTGGCAAATGGCAATAATAATTTCGGACTTCGGCCATATAGTGCTGGTGTTCGGAGATTTTATATTTAGCCGTATCTACAAACTGTCCGGCAGCTGCGGCCGCGGTAGGTAAATATGCTTATTTGCCATTTTTCTTTTTTATAATGCACGCGACGACGGCGGCCAGACCAACGCAGCTACAATAATTAAATGATATTTATTACTATTATTTTTATCATTT